TGGTTTAGCAGCCAAGGGCTTGACCGTTGTGCCACCAGGACTCCTTGCAAGGTTTTAGAGGTTATTTTTCAGGGACCAAGAACAAAAAGCAAGTTCTCTGGGTAAAATTAATTTTAAACCCCACAGCCCACCACAGTGGTGAAGAGGCAAGAGCAATGGGTTCTTGGCTTCTGTTTTTTGGGGTGACTTTCCAATCTTTACTCTGGGAGGCAATATAGTGTAGTAGGCAGGAGACTGGATTTTGGAGTCACACGGGCCTGGCTTGGCAGCCCAGCTCTGACTTGGGCAGGTAGCCTAACATCTGCAAAATGGAATAATGATAGCAGTATTTCATGCCTGTAGCGTTGCTTGAAGATTAAATGAGATAATGCCCAAAGTAGTCAGCCCAGTGCCTGGCAAATAGCAAGCTCTCTATAAAGGGTAGCCAGCAGGATTATATATGAGTTTTGACCACAGAAACGAGATTGCCTTTTAAAGATAAACAGACTAGAATGCTCACGTCCAGTAAGTCTTGATCTCTTCGAAGTACTCACTTTGGGAGGTGTCTTAGTTATCTGGTGCTGCTATAACAGAATATCACAAATGGATGGCTTTAACAAACAAATTCATTTTCTCATAGTTTAGGAGGCTAGAAGTCCGAATTCAGGGTGCCGGCTGGCTCTAGGGGAAGGTTTTCTGTCTCTGTTGGCTCTAAAGGAAAGTCCTTGTCTCTTCAGCTTCTGCTTTCTGGTTCCAGCTCTCCGTGTGTCTTGGCGTCTGTCTTGCCCCATCTCTGCTCTTCTGGCTTGTTTAATATCTTTTACGTCTCAAAAGAGGTTGACTCAAGATACACTCTACACTAATCCTGCCTCATTAACATAACAAAGACAACCCATTCCCAAATGAGATCATAACCACAGGCACGTTGTTGTTGTTGTTAGGTGCCGTGGAGTCAATTCCAACTCATAGCGACCCTGTGTACAACAGAATGAAACACTGCCAGGTCCTGCGCCACCCTCACAATCATTGTTATGCTTAAGCCCATTGTTGCAGCCACTGTGTCAATTCATCTCATTGAGGGTCTTCCTCTTTTTTGATGACCTTCTACTTTATCAAGTATGATGTCTTTCTCCAGGGACTGATCCCTCCTAATAACATGTCCAAAGTATGTGAGACGTAGTCTTGCCATCCGCAGGCATAGAGGTTAGTATTTACAACATATATTTTTGAGGGACGTAATTCAATCCATACTAGGAGACCTGCAGAAACTGTTTTGGAGGCCTTTCCAGTTTCCATGGGTTATTTGAATGCCCTCCGTGGTGGCAGTTCACATGCGCTTGGCATGTATGTCTTGTTAGCAATTATTTCGCTCATTGTTGTTGTTATTGTTAGCAGTCCTTGAGTTGGTCCTCAACTCATGATTATCCCATGCACAATGGAATGAAACATTGCCCAGTCCTGCACCATCCCCATGATCAGTTGCCAATCAGCCTCTGTGAGTCATAGGGTTCTTTACTGGCTGGTTTTTGGAAGTAGATTGCCAGGTCTTTCTTCCTAGTCTTTCTTCGTCTGGAAGCTCCATTGAAACCTGTTCAGCATCATAGCAACACACAAGCCTCCACTAACAGACAGGTGGTAGCTGCACATGAGGTTTATTGGCTGGTAATAGCACCGGGTCTCCCACATGGGAGGCAAGAATTCTAACGCTGAACCACCAATGCCTCATTCACTTGGTTATTTACTTCTCGATTTTGAGCTCCCTTTGTTATGCCAATTGACCTAGATGTCCCCTGAAAGCATGGTCCCCAGACCCCTAACCCTCCTACTCTGTCTCTCAAAGTATTTGATTGTATTCAGGAAACTTCTTAGCTTTGGTTTAGTCCAGTTGTGCTGGCTTCCCCTGTAGTGTGTGCTGTGTCCTTCCCTTCGCCTAAGATGATTCTTATCTACTATCTAGTTAGTAAATACCCCTCACCCTCCCTACCCACCCCCGTAACCATCAAAGAATGTTTTCTTCTGTGTTTAAACCTTTTCTTGAGTTCTTATAATAGAGGTCTTATATAGTATTTGTCCTTCTGTGACTGACTAAATCCACTCAGCATAATAAGTTCCAGCCATGGAATGCAATTTTTAAAAATTCCCTTCAGCCCAGTGTGGGTTAGGATGGGGGATGAAGGCAGAAGAGGTGGGAGCAGCAGGAAATCCTGGACAGTAGGTTGAGACCATACTGGGAGGACTCCTAAATGCAACACGAAGGAATGAGGGTAGACTCGCTTGGTGATAGCCGAAAGTCAAGGCGGGTGGTGGAGCTGTGAACTAGCATTTCAGTGCCCTATAAGATGTGATTACAAAGCTGATTATGTAAAAGGTTTTATGTGGCTTGTGAACTGACTTAAGAGTCAATATCGTTGCTCAGAAGACCTCTTAGGTCGGTATTTAGCTGTATTAATCTGACCTGTCTCCCTCATCAAAATGGGAGCCCAGCAAAGTTGGAATTGAGCTTTCTTATTCAATCATTTATCAGGTAAGCACCCATGTGCCAGGACAGTACTAAGGTGTGGGTATAGAAGTGCATAAGCCCTATTGTGAGGACAATGCACAAAAATCCAATGATTATACAAATATGTGAAACACGCTGTGAAGAAGAGGTATGTGGTGGTACGAGCACAAATGACAAGAGGACCTGGTCTAGTTGGAAGGGGTGGGGGTGACTGAAGTTTTCACAGAAGAACTGATATTTAAACTGAAACTTGAAAGATGAATAGCGTTTAGCCTGGGGGAGTGACTGAGCCTTTTAGGTGGCAGGAATAGAATGTGCAAACGTCCTGAGGTAGGAAATCTTGGATTGTTGGAGGGGCAGGGAGGGTGCCAGAACTCAATAAGATAGCCCTCTTTCTTCCTGTCCCAATTTCTCTCCCCTGGTGCCAGAAAAGTCTCCGAGTACCATGCCCTCTGAAGCAGGGTGGAGAGTTTTGGCAGCACCTGTGGCGACAGAGCAAAAATCTCCGGTCTGATGAGTCCTTAATGTGGTTAAATGTGAAAACCTTGGGGTGGCAGGCCCACTGTAGCTGGTAGAAGGGCTTAGACAGCAGCTGGGTGGGGCAGAGAAAAATGGAGAGGAGGGTGAACTTGGAAGTTCTGGCTTTGTTTTGTTTTGGAAAAGAAAAGCGCTTTGCACACAGAGGATGACTCAAGCCAGAGGGTGATATGACTGAGAAGTCCTTACCCAGCCACTCACAGAGCCAACTAAGAGCATTGCCCTAGAGCATAAAGCTTGGGGACCCCAATATTGTCCCACCCTCTTCCCCTTGGGACCCTTTTCATCATCCAACCAGCTTTTCCTGAGCCTCCACTGGGATGCTCCCCTCTTTTGGGTGCAAGGATCAATCAGGTCTGTCCCTCCAAGAAGGAGACAAGCTCTGATAATAATAATTATCATATGGGACAATTTAGTGCCTAGCCTCAGTCTTCTCCTCTATAAAATGGGGATAATAATAACAAAATCTACTCCAAACTGTTCGTACATGGCTGAAGCACGTATCACAGTGCCTGGCACAGAGTAATGCTTGACAGAGAGAATGTTCTGGGAAGGATGGGAGCCCCAAGCAGTAAGGTAACTCTGAATTTGGGCTGGTCAGGTCAGGGAGGGAGAGGGGAAAAGATGAGTTAGCCAAGTTTCCCCCTCCCATTTGCTCCTACAGCAGCCAGAGTCTGCAAGGTCCTGCCCACTACCTCACCACACTCACTTTCTGCTTTCTCCTCTCTCTTGCCTCTCAGTTCCAGGAATCAGATATGCTCCTTCAGGCCATAGGGCCTTTGCTTGTGTGGTTTCTTTATCTGGACTGCTCTTCCCTGTTTCTTCTCTAAGTCAGCTCCTCCCTAAACCTCACATCTCACCTTAAGTGTCAGTTCCTCAGGGAAGCTGTCCTGACCTCTGGGTTTTGTAGACCCTGCCACAGGACACAGGTCGAACTCCTTTCCTTCACTCTCTCAATTTGTAACTATATTTTCTTTAGCATGATTTTAGGATTGATGTCTGTCTCTCCCACTTGGTTAAAAACCCCAGAAGGCTCCTCTGTCTCCCCTGGTTTTGTGCACCAGCAAATCCCCAACCATTCCTGACTCTTATTTTAGACACTCAGAAAAATATTTGTTGAGCGAATGAATGGGGTACAAGAATAACATAGATAATAAGGTTTATTTATAACGAGCCCTGGTGGGGCAGTGGTTAAGCGCTGGGCTGCTAACCCCGAAAGGTCAGTGGTTTGAACCCACCAGCCCACTCCTCTCCATGGGAGAAAGATGTGGCAGTCAGCTTCCATAAAGATTACAGCCTTGGAAATCCTGTGAGGGCAGTTCTACCCTGTCCTATAGGGTCACCATGAGTCGGAATCGGCTCGACATGCCAGCACTGATTATGCACATCATCTTATTTAGTCTCCCCAACAACCCTCTGAGGGAGGTGGTACGATTATGTTCATTTTACAGGTGAGGAAAATTAAGTTGAGGGAGGTTAAGTGACTTACTTACGGTCACTCTGCTCATTAGTGCAGGGGTAAGAGACAGGATTCACATCCAGATCCTTCTGACTCTAAGCCGCTACGGGGTGGAGAGGTGAGCCCAGGCTGGAGTGAGGGGCGCATCCAGGATAGCTGAGCAGCCCCAAGGAGAGGGCCCGAGGCTTCCCTGGGCTAGCTCGGAGCACTGGTGCTGCGCCCACCCCCGGTTGCGGGCGCAGACTAGCTCCCCGCCTCCTGGCCACGTGGTGCGCGCGGCGGGCGCGTCCGAGGAGCCCGCAGCGGCTCCTGGCTCAGAGCGTTTGGGGCCAGCAGAGCCGGAGGGTGCCGGGGGCAGCGGGCGGCAAGGAAGCCGGGGATAGGCGCGGAGCAAGCGGGGCGGCCGGGGTGCTGCAGCCCGCGGCGTCGGGACCGCGGCCTGGACCTTCGGCGCGTCTCTCGCGCGGAGTTCCTGCGCCGAGGGCGCACGGTGGGGAGGGACGCGGAGCTGGCCGCCGGGCCGCGATGGAGCCGACCCCCAATGCAGACGCCGAGCTGCAGCCCCTGCTCCTCGCCAACGCGTCGGACGCCTTTCCCAGTGCCTTCCCGAGCGCGGCCGCCAATGCGTCGGGGCCGCCGGGCGCACGGAGCGCCTCATCCCTCGCCCTGGCCATCGCCATCACCGCGCTGTACTCAGCCGTGTGCGCTGTGGGGCTACTGGGCAACGTGCTTGTCATGTTTGGCATTGTCCGGTGAGTCCGCTGAGGGCTGGCGACGCGGTACTGGGCACCTGGGTGAGGGTGGGGACCGCAGATTTGGGACCCTAACACTGGACCCCGTACTCCCGGGGGCCTCTGCATTTCCTGCAGGGGACTCCCGGGGCCCAGCAGGGAAGCCACTGTCCGTGAGAGGAGGACGTTGGAGTGTGTGTGTTTAAATAACATTTGATCCTCTGTCTGCATCGTCTTGTTTCTGCGTCAGGGTATGTAGGACAGTTTGGCGGCAGTTTGTGTATCTGTCACAGTTTTGAGTAGGTGATTCTGTGTTTCTGACAGCACCGGTGCCTAGACCTCTGAAACCTCCCAGAGGTGGATGGAGATGCTGTAAGGCGCCCAGGGCCTCTGGCGAGACAGATATGTGTAAGCACTGTGCACGTAGGGAGGACAGGAGAGTGTTTGTGGGGGCACTTAACGAGTTACATTTGGCGATCATCGGTCCCTGTCTTGGTGTGTTTGTCACGAAGTGTCAGTTTGTGATTGTCTGTGTTTGAGAATGTGACTATGTTGTTTCTTGTCAATCCCCTGAAGGCCCAGAGAGGAGGGGGACATCCAGAGTGGCCTGGGCACCTGCGTTTATGCAACTGTGTTTGCCAGTGAAGAGCAAACTGTGTTTGCTGTGGAGTTTCTGGTCGGTTCCCTGCTCTTTTCCCCAGTGGCCATCTAGTCAGGAAGTCTAGTGATGATTCCAAGAGGTCTCAGATCCTCCTCACAAATGCCACTTTATTTTCTTCTTCCCTCACCAAATGGTCTTTTCTTCTTCCAAAGGCAGCAGTGATTTGTTTGGGCTGGAGTGGAGTTTGTGCCTTCACCCAGGAAGCGAGGTTGTCTTGTTGGTATCTATGTGCAGTGCTGGGATCTTCTCTGAAATTCTAAAACATCATCAGCTTGCCCCAGCAGTAGCCCTCAAGACCCAGCCCCACCAGCCGAAATACAGGCAAAAAGGACTGAGAGTAAACTCATATCCTTAAAACAACAAAGATACCCTGGTATTTACTGCTAGTTGGAAATGGGTCGTCTGTGATGGTTGACCAAGGGCACAGCCCTAAACCTATCTGAGCCATAAAGCTCAGTCAGCACAGAGAGCAGATTGGGGATTCAGAGGCTGAAGATGTGAACTGTGGTCTCAGCCCAGTCACTGATGCTCATCATGGGGGGCACCATTCCCCCTGCCCCACCTCTCATCTGTTTCAGTTTCCCTGTCTAAAGAATAGAGACCTGATCTCTGTTGAGAAGTAAGAATTCCAGAGTATGGGCCCTCTGGAGGGCAGAGGGTGGTATGTTCGAGCATTGGATGAGGTGTGTGGGTGTCTAGGGGGCTTTGGCATCGACAGCAGCATCTTTGCTCCCCTGGGAAGAGTGGAGGCCAGAAAAACTTCCTGTGCTTTCAGTGACTCATCACCAGCTACAGTGGGAAAATTACCCCAAGCACAGGCAGGATTGATCTTTCTTTGTGTAAATCCCAGATCTTAATAATATTAATATTAGTCCCAGATCTGCCATGAATTGGCTCTGTGACTTGGGCAAATCGCTTAGCCTCTCTGAGTTTCAGTTTCCTCATCTATAGAATCTACAGTAATAATAGAATCTTCTTCAACAGGGTTGTGCCCAGTAAATGGAAGCCATCTGTATGATGATGAGGAGGAATTTTCCAGACTATGCAGAAGGAAAAGTGAGGCAGGTACTTGTCCTCAGGTGGGCCTGAGAGTAGCTGGAGAGTTTCAAGTTCCTGGAACACTCTCTCTGGAGAAGCTCCAGGTACTCCGGTCTGGAGAAAGCTGAACATCAGTTTCTTCAGTCTCATTTTCAACCCCTTCCCCAGGGCCCTCTAGCCGGTGAGCTGATGAGCACAGCTCCCCCCACCACCACTGAGCAACGGGAAGGCCTCCCACTTTTGAGAGTTGATTCTGGGGAGGCTCTGGGCTCAGCCTGCTAGGTGTGCTCCAAGCCAACCTTCCCCAAACCGCGTTTTCAAAGGCATCTTGTGAGCAGCCTAACTGGTCCCCTCGTTGATAAGACATTTATTTCCCTGGCCAACCATCTATGTGACAACTGTTTTTCTGGGTCTGAATGATTTACTCCTCACCAACAACCCTGTGGGATAGACATTAGGGTCGTCATTATCATCACCCCCATTTAATAGATGAGGAAGCTGTGGCTCAGAGAGAGGCAAGGTGACTTGTTCGCCAAGGTCCCACAACTAGCACTATGCCTGGAGGTAGAACTCCGGTCTTGTGAGTCCAAGTCTGGGACTTTTTCCAGAGCTGCCTGGTGTAGGGGGTAGTCAAAGCATAGCATGGAAGGAGGAGAGCAGAATTCCGGGAGCCCCTCCTCTTGTGCTAGAATCCTCAGAGAATGATGGAGACATGGATCCTACCTTTATTCGGCCCATGTATTTCAGGCTGCTGTCCTGGGGGGAAGGGAAATGATGGGACTGGCACTTTAGTTCTTCCCTAAGGAGAGGGTGGCTGAGGACAGAGTAGCTGTGTAGGGCTTGGCTTCTGCTGGCAAAGCCCCAAGAGCAGTGAGGAGAGGGCAGCCCACGATGGAGAAAAGGCCCTGGACTCCTCAAACTCTGATCTATCTGTGGTTCCCTGGCACCCAGCATGGGGCCTGGCACAAACAATAAGTGAGCTGGTTGATTGCTAGGATGAATGAATGAGTGATTCTATCAGTTCTGAGCTTAGGCAGTTCTGGGGTCAGGGGGAGGTTTGCAAGAGAAGATCCAGAGGACTCTTGGAGCAGGAAAGTAGGTGGGCAGAGCTGGAGCTCTACAGCCAGACATATCTGAGTTCAAATCCTGGGTTCAGAGCCCTTCCTTGCCATGTAGTTGGGCTAGTTGACTTCACCTCTCTGAAGCTCGTTTCCTCGCCTGTAAAGTGGGAATAACAATAATGCAGCCAGGGTTGTGGTGAGGATTAAATGAGATAATGTGTGATATCTGAGCCTTTTTGACCCTAAACCCTTTGAGAATCGAGGAAGGAGGGTTGTCTTTGTGTGAAAGGATGAAAAAAATTAATTAATTCAAGAAAATTCTATGGACGTAGATGCTAGATGCTGAGAGCAATGGTGAAGGAAAAAAATGCATCGTCCCTGTCCTCATGGAACTCAGGGTCTGGTGGGAGACACAGATATTGACCAACTAGTCATCTGGTAAACTTAAATTTGCAGCTAAGGACTATGAAGGAGAGTATGTGGGGTTTTGGGAGCCCACGATGCGGGGGAGCATCTTACCTGGCCAGGGAGATTCAGGGAAGGCCTCTGTGAGTTGCTGAGAGCAGAACGATGAGGAGGAGGTAATTAGGTAAAACGCTGAGTGAAAAGCCTGGCACTGAAGGAAGCATGCCGTGAATGAGGGGCTGAATAAAAACAACACAGGAATCTCTCAGAATCCCAGATTACAAAGTACTCTCCATTCCTCCTCCCCTTCGCTCTGGCCCTCTCCCCTTCCCTGGATGCACCTGAGAAGCCCACTGGTCTCTGGACGCACAAGAGGGGCCTCTGGAAGTTGTGCTCTTAGCAAAGAGCCTTTGAATGCAGGGAACGAGGCTTCTAAGAAGTGGGAGCAGGATTTTTTGGGTATCTGGTCCCCAAGGCAGAGCATCACTCGCTGCTCCTGCAGTGTGAGTCTGCCAGGCCAGCAGGATGACTCCGTGCTGGCCTCAGAGATGCCCTGGGTCCTCAGAGCAGACACAGGACAACCGTTTCTTCTGGGCCGAGTTGTGTCCTGAGCAGCGCTGGCAGTTCAGAGAGTTCTCATTGGCAGCCCCCTGGGCAGTGTGCAGTGTGACGGGCTTAGCAGACCCTTTATCTCTGGCAGGTGACCCCATCTCACCTCCACGTGGCCGGAAACTTCCTGGTTTGCCCATTCCCAGAATCCAGGCTGGAGAATGGAGTCGGTGCATTTCTACCTGGCCTTTTGTCTGTTCCCACAACTGTTCCCTGTCCCCTTGCCTCTTATTCTCCCCGATTCTGGCTTCAGCAGCTTTGCACCCTGCGGTGTCTCTACCCATCCTCCAACCCCCTTCTCTGCCTCTTCCCATCCCCAGCCTACTTGTGGGACTTTTTCTGGCTATGTGTTTCTCTGCTCCTTGATCTCTCCCTCAGCCCATGTCTCTTCTGGCTTTTCTTCCTGAATCAAGTGCTGGCTCCCTACTAAGATCTTTAACAAGTTGCATCAGCTCTGTGTCACAGTTTTTTCATTGTAAAACGTGGATAATAGTACCTACCTCATGGGTACCTTTGTCCTAAAGATGAAATAACATTGGTAAAGCATCCTGCTTTCCCTCCCATACCAGGCACACAGGACCAAGGAGGGAGGAATGTTGGGCCAGGCAGCATGGGCTGGGGTGAGATCACGACAGGTGAATGAGGGGCTCCAATTATCCCCTCCATCTACTGCTGAGGTGCCAGGGGCTGCTGGGAAATGCGCTCCAGTGTCACCTTTGCAGAATTGGGAGCACTGAGTCCCCATCTTGTTTTTGGAGGCCCAGAATGAGCCCCTTGCTTTCTTGTCTCCCTCCCCTCTCTTGCCCTGGTTGGGGTCCAAACCCAGGGTCTCTAGGCCAGGAGGGGTCCCAGTGAGGCCACACAGTGGTATAGTGAAGGTCACAGCTGGGTCCTGGTCTCCATCCCAGCTCAACCACATCCTACTGGTATGGCCTTGGGCAAACAGCTTAACTTCTCTGAACCTCATTTACTCATCTGTAACACTGGGGTGATCATGACTGATTATTGGGAAGATTAAATGAAATGAGGTCATGAATGTAAAGCCTGTAGCACAGGCCCTCAATACACGCCCGAAGCTGTGATTAACCAACACCCCTGCAACTGCTGCAGGCGGCAGAGCAGGTGGCTGTTGAAGTGATTGTCTGTGTTTCCCACCTTGGGCCCTTTCCTACTTCCTGCATTGGCTGTGCATTTACTCATTCAACCAGCATTTCCTGATGCTGACCCTGTGAGGCCACCCAGCCTCA